TTATTAATGGTTTACGGTGGTTCAATTTTGTGGATTAGTTGAAGTAAGACATGAACACTGTTGGATGTCGGTCGGCTCAGTGGTCTAGAGATTAAGCATTCACGTACAAAACCGGTAGGTTCTGGGTTCGAATCTCGCGGGGCGGGATCGTGGATGTGTACTGCTGAGGAGCCCCACACTAGGATGAAATGGCCGTCCAGGTTTTTATGATTCAGGAATTCAACTATAAAATTACTAAAATCTCTACAAAACCCCTTTCTGATTATTTTATATTTGATTGGAGACAGTCGACATAATCCCTAAACACAGATTAGTACTTGTCAGTTAGAAAGGAATCAATATTTTACAAGTGCTTTTAATATATAAAACAGCTACGTTCGGAACTTATGACTTTATATTTTGCCAATAACGATATAATAACCTGAACAATAAAATTTGAACAGCACTTAAAACTGGACATCATGGTTGGTTAATACTATGTAGACATTAAATAAATAATCACGCTGTTTTGACTTACATTTTACATCATTGATTGATTTTGGTTAATCAGCCATTGAAAATCTATTAATGTTGGCCAGATGTTTTGTTTTAATAGGGTGCTTCTTAGCACCTTTCATCTATGACTCAAAAGCGTATTGCACATGTAACTTTTTAAACTTTGTTTAATCTTTCTTTGATGCAAGTAAAACAGCAAGTAGAACACAAACACCAAATACTCGTACTGTGGTGAACAGAACACAGGTGGGGACAATCGAATATATTTAACAACAAATAACAGAACTAGTTAGTAAAATCCAACAACCATATATTAATTTGCAAATTGTTCACCAATTGTCTCAAATGACTCAGAATCCCTTTGTTCTTGCATTTTCATACAAATTGCATTCTTTTTTCATTCTTTATTGTTCGATCTTCTCGTCTCTCTGCTGCCAGACATTCTGTTCAGTACTCACGTCATATACTACTCATGTCTACATAAGTAGCACATGCCACAGTACTATTTTCTGTTGTATTATAGAATTGAAAGTTCTATCATGAAAACAAATGCTATTTTATTGTTGTTTCATATATTATCTTAACATAGTCGTTTAATTTTATACTACTGAACGTAATAAATACAGGATTGCACCAATTCTCAATAGGTATTATGGATGAGACCTTATCTTTACTTTGTAATTCAGTTCTTTCAAAGCTAAAGGTACTCTGTTTTGTTCGCAATGTGAATATCAACATTCGGATACAACCACATCCAGCTGATAAATCCCGAATAGCATAAAACATGCATTCTGGATTACACTACCGACTGTAATTCATCCAAACAATATTAGTTAATCTAAGTACATATAATTAATTCTATTACTATCCGAATAGTTTAATAATTTATCAGGATATATTATTCTCAGTCCAACATTAAAGAATCTTCGACCTTGAAAATACTTTTTCTTGAACAGATTATGCTTTCTTAACAATTTGTTCCTAGATTAGTCTTCTTTAGCTTAATAATGTGATAAATATCAGATGTATAAATAAATAAACTGAAATGAATACTGTAACGGTAGTTGAATTTCAAAGATCGAAAGTTTTCAAGACTTAACTTTTAAACAACGAATCAATAAAAAAATCTTTACAGGACTCCTAGGTCTAACGTAGTAAGTCTTATATGTGATCGAACTCAGAATTTCCGAGCGTCAGGGGGAGAGCTTAACTCTGCAACATTTGAGTTGGTATTCAATGTCTGACATTTTTTTCTTCAATCGATTTGTGATTATCAGAGTATATCACTCATTATCATTTGTGATACTTGTCTCATGTCCGACATAGTTTCACAGTCAAAGGTGAGTAATTTCTTCTGGACATTTAAGTCAAGTAAATTTAGAAATCTAAATCATTCGACACTAATCTGGCTGTCTGACAATTAAAACTTAACCATGAAGCCTGATGATAGTCGTTGTAATTTCAAACGGATTCATGAATGGGAGCCGTTAACAATGATTGCTCAGTATCTCCGAATTCTCAATGATTGTCTAGATAAGATTATTTTTTTGTACTGAAATTTAAAGAATTAGAATAATTTGATTTAAAGAATTTCTTATTACCAGTTAAATGTTAATGAAGATTATTTCTCTAGGAAAAACTCCATATACCATAAAATCTGTAAATATGCATCCTATTTACTCAGTATAGTACACAGTTACTGTTAGGTCCCGATAAGCAGAATGAATGGTAACCTTTGGGACCCAGTTATGGACTAATACTATGCGTATATTTTTATCGTATAATTGTTAAATAACTAAACTATTCATATTCTTCTTATTATTAGCATTATTTTGACCTATGAACCATTATTATACGTTTCAACATTCTTGAATTTTTCCCTGTCTATTTGTCACCGCCTCCCATATTCACAGCCACATTTGGCCAAATTTTGTACAAATGTTATTTTCTATTTTATGGTACGTTGTGGTCTGTTTGATTGGTATATAAACCGAATATTTTTGAAATAAATGATTCATATTGCAGAGACTGAGATTGGTGTTCTGGACTCAGCTGGCTGGGCTAGGCGGAAAGCAGGACCAATCAGGACTATAGGCTGCTCGCACGTGTTTTACGAGTCCTTGGTCCGAACGATAATTCACTGCTCTCTGATTGGTGGTATTATTACGTTATTCATTAGCAGGGCACTCAGGTCACAAGTTATAGCAGTTACTTACATCAAATACTGAGTGGGAAAGAAAATATCCTTATAAATTAACTACCATCCGTATACTGACACAGTCTTCATTAATAATAGGATATTATTACGTTCATAAAATAAGTAACAATAATCAATAAAATTCAACACCCTCAAAGATCATACAATAAATACATTTTACCAAGGTACCCCTTTTCTTGAATCCTTTTAAAGTCTATCAAATAATTAAACATTTATCATTTATATCTGAAATAAAAGATTAAACTTAATAGATGATAGATTTTTATGACAAACCTAATTACAATACAATGATGATTGAATAGCTTTAGTAAACTTCTATTAAGACTTTTACATGCAACAAGCATTTAACTATGAATTGAAGTAATAAAATCTCTTTTTACATTTCATAAAATAAACGATTCTTAAGAAAAAACATATTTGTCTTCTACATTTATATGACTAGTCATAGATGATGTTTTTTTGAAAATATCGACCATCTTCAATATAGTTTAGATGATTTTATTCCCAATAGACAAATTCTTCACAGGTTTTATATCCATGTTTCTTCGGAAACTACTCAAATTTACTTAGCATTACAAGATGACTAATTTAATGTTGTTCAATATTATAAATTAATTAGTGAGAATTATATATGAATTTCATTATGTAATCGTTATGTCATTAAGCCTAAGGGATTGAATCCATTCAGTGATGATGATGATAAACTTTTTATTATTTAGTTAACACCTTTGTTAATATTACTGTTATTAAGTTAATCAAAACACAAGAGCTTTCCAAAACTAATAAAAGATATGAAGAGAAAATAAAATAAGGGATGATACATATATATGGAAGGGAATTCTATGATTTGCATTTGGAACTGTTTAGAATTCATTAGTTAAGTTCATTTTCATTTCAACGTTTCTGATTATCAAAAATGAGAAATTTCTACTAAATTTCATACTCCTATAACAATTTAATTGTTATAAGGATTTAGTAGTTAGGTGGGGCGTAAATTATTCGGTTTATGTTCCATCGTGAACGCTAATATAGAGATGTAGATATATAAAGCTGATGGATTTTAGATCGAGTTTTCTGGATTTTCCCGCCAGCCATAAAATGAATGTATTAAGGTTTTGTGACATAACTCAGTTTTGAGGCGACCTGGTTAGAATACACGTATGACAATAAACGCTGATGAACTACAATCCTAAATATCAACAACAAAGAATTACAAATGCTTAGCGATAATATATTTGGTTAGGTGATTTTTCGGGTTTTTATTGCCCGAAATCTGGCTTCAGTTAGATTATTTGAATGTTTGTTATTGACTGATTGCTCTAAAAATATATATATCGCCTATCCTCGCATATAATAATCGCCTTAGATAGCGTTAGTGAATAACGAGATCAAATAAGTGAAACACGAGAATGGATGTTGGAATACGTATATTTTGTAAACTCGTGGACCGAAACAGACAATCAGAGAGACGAAGCCAATAGAAGAGAGTGAAGCGAAATGAAATGACGCGCAGTAGAGAAGACTTGTGAACCAACTCCATTTAATCAAGCGTTAATCAATATTTATAGTCACACAAAAATAAGTTACAGAGATGTGACGAGTAATGGGATAAGAAGCGTACACACACATATGCGCTCATATAAAAACAGTCAAGGTTGACAAGTGAATAATTCACAAGGTCAAAACGTGACTCAGGAAGAATGGATAAATTGGCACGTCCAGAAGCTAAAATAAGTTATGTGGGCTTAACATTTTAACTGACACTACAGGGTTCTGTACAGATGGGTAACAAATTTCACACTGCATCAACATCACTTGATGAACCATTGAAAACCAGGTAGCAGCTGTCCTTATACGATTTTCGCACTATTTGACACAGTGAAATCTAGATCCCATGTTAAATTGCATGAAAAATATCCAGGGTTTATATAGTATGCGGTTAATATTAATCACATAATATTCCTTGAAACTTATTTCCAAGCTACTACAAATTAACAAATGAAACAATATTGTATCAGGATTCAATCAAACAACTTATGACGATCAATTCAATATTAAGATCAATTTTACTTCATCGAAGAACATCAAAGAAAACGAAAAAGAACTACAAACAACTAACTCATCTTAATTCATAACACTTCAGCTGATATCATTCTAAAACTATGACAAAAGTCAATTTCTACCATAAAATTTTACAACACAATTATAAATTATTAAGATTAATTTATAATTTCAATTCAATATTAAAATTTTATTAAATATCAATTAAATTAACAATTAAACTTACTTTTGGTTTTTTTCTTAAATAAATAAAAACACCATCAGCGGAAATTTTAATTAAAACCTTCTGTTTCTTAATACCTTTTTCTTTGAATTCATACTGAGTTTGAAAAGAAAATTAATACCAAAAAAAGAAATAAATCATTCTTCATTATGTCTACTTTCAACTGTAAATAAAGTACAAATAGTTTAAGAATATAATTAGTAATATAAGGATACTTAAATTGATCTTTCATACTATAGTGAAGGAGAACGCAAATGGGAACAATTGAACGTATTTAAATACAAAATTACAGAATATCTTAGTAAAATTTGAGAACTATACAGTAAACACTTCATTTGTAAAGTTTCAACCAATCATTTCAGACTTGATTGTTCCTTCGTTTGCACACCAATCATTGTCTGTTCTCGTTTTTTTCTTCTTCGATCTTCTTAACTTTCTGTCATCAGGCATTTCACCTTTGTTTGATGATATATACTACTTATATCTGACGACATCCATATCACACACGATAATACAATCATTTAAATAAAAGTATACAGAAATATATAGTTTTAACATTGGTGTGTACCACAATGTAGCTTATCACGTAAGAATTCTTTTAAAAGTGATTTTGGTGGATTATAAACGAACAAAAATGGTAACCGATATCATCTTTGATTAGTAGATATTATCAATCCTAGAACATATAATGCTTCAAAGCATTTCATTTTATTCAGAAAATAAAAATAAAACTCTTGCGTTACGGGGGTATTCAAAATTAAAATGGAAGTACTTGATTCTGGTAATTTTTTTATTTTACGTTGTATTTTTATTATTTTCAGACTCTGGATATCAAACTGTTTTTAATATCCAGATACTGTTCAGTAAATACTTCAGTTCTATAGGAAGTCACTTTCCAACCGAATGACTCACAGTGATCTCCATACTTGTGGCACCAGACGGTAACGATTCAAATAAGAAAGCAAGCACCAGTTGTAAAGTGATAAGTAACATGGAAACAAGCTCTTGAGCTATCTCACAACTAATGATTAAATTAGATAGGTATGTTATTGGAATCATAAAATGGTCTAAGTTAGATCACCATTGGAAACTTGGAAGCACTGGGTGGCCGTCTCGTTCTAGTATGGGACTCTTCAGTAGTGCATTTTTACGACTCCGCACTCGGGATTCGATCCCCGAACCTTCAGTATCGCGCGAGCTCCTAAACTCTAGACCACCTGTTAGGGATCCAACGGTGTTAGTGCTTATTCTTAATCAATCTAAAGTATTACGCAACCATATTTCATTGTCTATGATATGTAACGGCCTCATACTTTACATGACTAAAATCTACTGGTCACGGCTTCTCACAAAAACTCCATAAATTTCCCCTCAAAGTTAGTCATTAGCGACCACATGATAATTTACCGTATATGGTAGGAATGTAATGAGTACTAGTGGCAACCTTCTGATGGTTATTTTGTCATCATAAATAGAAAAAGTATGGTTAATATTACTTTAATAAAACCATTTAGTTTTACATATTTAATCAAAAGATCTTATTGTAAGGTACACAAAAGAGACAATTCTGTGAAAATTGAGAAAAATAAGTTTAATTCTATATAACACATCTTCACAGATACCAAATTTGTAATCAAAAATTTTTAACAAGGAAAAGACACTTTTTCTAAAGGTCTTTCTTGCCTATTGATATGTAGTTTGTTTTCCACAAAATACCGAATTTATATTTTGAAGGATGACTTAATTATCACTAAAGCTTTCTAGATGCAACCAATCTTGTACAAAACAGTCGGTTGCATTGATTATGGATTCAACATTATTTGCCTAAAATCAAACAAAATAGTATGTGTTTATTAAATAGGATGAGGTTATCCTGGTCATTTTGAGTTTTTAATAAATATGATGTATTCAGCACTTTCTGTCATTTTTCTATTACTGTATGTTTGAATATAATTTTCACCAAGGGCTTTATTTCGTGACTCATATATCTGCTATGAACAAGCAAGATGAAGGACATAAATATAAGGGAAGCTAATAAGAAATCTACTGAAAATTAAGTCTTAATATAAAGCATTCCCTTACCTAATAAACGAAAAAATGATCATCATTGAAAGATACAATACACTTAGTAAACACTAAAACCGTTGAGAATAACCTCAGCCGATTGGTTGGATTAGGAAGTGCATATTAACGGATTTCAGTCCTGTGGTTTAGATGCATTGTGTTTGAGATAAGATCTGAAAATTTATTATTCAGTTCTATGTAGAAATGTATATTTATCCGGGATAGAAAGTATAGAACTAGAGCAAAACAAACCGACTAGCACTGAATGGTCAGTAATATTATTAAATTAATGTCAGTTAGATAAACTGCTTACAAGCAACTTAGTTTAGTTGTGTTTGTCTGTAAAATAGATGACATTATCGAAATACATTTAATTGCATACATTATACCATAGATATTTCTGAAAATGTTCAGTGGATTCAATCCTGTTACTTATTAATTTATAGATTGAAATGAGCACAAAGTTGAGAAATTACAAATGATATTTAATAGTACACTTTGATTTCAAGTGGTTTATCATTTCAAACTTGTTTTTAAACATAATTAAGCATTCATCCAGTTTATACCAACTGCTTCTACCACTACAATAACGAAAGAAATGGCAGCTTAAATTATTTTAAGTTGGTCAATTTTAGATTATGACAGTAGCACAAATAAATTTCATTAAAATGTCAGAACCAATTACCATAAAATTACAAGATTACTTTTTTCAAAGCATTTTATTGATTTTATACTTGATAAGAAAATGGAACTATCCGGCTGAGTGTTTTAAGAAATATAATTGATTCGGTTATTTGTTTACTCTGAAGAAGTGGCTTAAATTAAGTCACGCAACGTCAGAAATACAATTTTTTTCTGTTCATTGGGATTTAACGGAAATATACTTATTATTAACTTTCTACCCAATGCTCAATTTATCTGAGAATATCAAGTGTAACTTTGGCATTAATACCTATAGTTGTTTATAATTTAAGAAAAACAATTATAGTTATTCTTCTCAATTCTTTATCAAAGTTTATATTGTATTATTTGTTTGAATAATAGTATAGTTTTTGTTATACGACAAAACTTGATGTTTTCAGTCATAATAGAAATAAGCTGAACCGGTATCTAGAATCTTCATTAATTGTTTAGGGAATTATCTACATAGAGTTGTATGCAACTGCACATAAACTTGATTTACTAATGTATTGCACTTTCATACATAACAAAGTGTTTCATTATATTTAGATGAGAAGTGATGACGAGATCAGTTAGTTTGCTTCATCTTATTACTATTCATTAGTAAGTATAACATGTTACTAGACTTTACTTCGTAAGTATTTTTCTACTAACCAAATTACCATATTTTACATCATCCTGTATTCTATTCATTCTTTTATAATGAAAGCACTATTGATTGAAATGTTTAGTTCATCTAGTTCCAAAGGTGGACTATATTATTTATTGATGGTTGATCTGATTTCATCAATTATTACATCTATAGTTTCTCTGGAGAATATATACACGATTAGTTATTGAAATAATGTGTTAAGTGATATGTAGTTATATTCACTCAGTTACTCAACAATGATTATAAACTGATCGCACCAATAAACTGACTGATATAGTGGGCAATGTCCTAATTTATTCAGAGATTTTCTTCGATCCCTTATGGTACTTATTTTTTGACGAATATTTTCTATATAACTATATTATTTTATTCAATAAAAAACCTACTTTTTTGGGTAATAGTCTTGTTCTTGATCTCAAATCAATCGGAAGTTCACGATAATAATTCGGTCTCGTGAACAGTCATAACTCAGCCACACTGTAGGATAGTATATTATCTATCGATTTGCATTCTATTCAGTTATTTTAATAGTTACAGCCATCATTCACATAGCAAATATTAATTATCCACATTGACAGTAAAATAACAACTAAATCTCTAATTGTACGGTAATATATAAAATATTTTCATGGTCATTACCACGTGTCATTAACGCGGTTTATTTATCAAGTTTTAATTCTAAAAATATATAACGTATAGTCTGTAATAAATATACTGTAGTGAGTGAGAATACAGGCCGGGACAACCAAATGTGTTTTAATACACTACATAATATAAGCAGTCGTATGCATCACAAATCGAAAATGGATTGCCTGGCAACAGAAGGTTGAGAAAATCAAAGAGAAGAGAACGAGAACAGTGAGTGATTGGTATGGAAACGAAGGAACAACAACGTCTGAGATAATTCATGAATGTTTTGCAAATAAAATATTTACTGTATGCTTCTCAGATATTACCAAGATATTCTGTAATGTTGCATTAAAATACATCTGGTTGTCTCCGCCTGTTTTCTCATTTACTACAGTACAACTTCTAAATATACATTTTTGCTAGAGAAAATATAACTAATTATATTTAAAAGCTTAGTATTACTTTACAATAAGCTATCATTCAAATCATTTATATTCGTTGGTCTACTTCAGTTTATTTAATCAGCAGATATTCATTTCTACGTTAAATAGTAGGAGTGTAATCAGATGGAAAAAGATAGATATGTATTCATTGAATTCCACTTCTTTTCAGTTATGATATTCCATGATTTATCTAGATCTTTTTGACATAAAATTACTCATAAATCTTAAGTAACTATTAGTTTGTAGGTTTATTTTAAACCTCATTTGAGAACATATTTAAAGTGTAAAGTAAATCTTCAGTGGCAAACTGTCCTTGATATCACAAATAAGTTGTATTTTTTATTCCCATATCCGGTTGTTTTGCATGGATTAACTGAACAACCATTCAGATAGTTTAAATGTAAATATACACATAATTATACATTGAGTTATCCTTTAGTAATGACTAGTATCATGTTTTTCTGGTTCTCTATGGTCCATTGAATTCTGTTGTGCTTTTTGCATACCATATGATTACTAGTCTACGTTCATTTTATCGTGAAATGAGGTGGTTAAAGGCAGTCACAGAAAAACCCTGTTTGATATAGATTTCGCGCTAATTCGCACTTACCAGCAAAGCGTATCTG